GATGAAAAGATAACAAATAAGGGAGACTAGAGCATTCTTCAGTTTACTGAAGGCCAGGAGAGGAATAATACTTGAACATGTTGTTTCTGCTTTCAAGATGCAAGTTTCATCAATCTTATTGCGACAGCCTCAGTTATGTTGAGCAAGTGTTGACGAGCTGCACATGTAATTGTTTTTGGCATATGATTTACGACAATAAACGCTTTATTAGAATCTGTGTGATGCCCTGTGTTCGATACATGGGCTAGAGCATCACTTTGACTTCAAATATTTCAAACCAAGCCGGTCAATTTACTTGTATCTATAGATGCACTTCAATTAACGTACACCGGATATAACTTGTTCCACAAGAACATAATGAATAAATAAGATAAGGCGACTGAGAAATAGTCGATCAATGAGAAATATACAAAGATGACCTGGAAAAAACGCTTTATTGACTGCTCTAGGTAGGCGCTGTGATAAGAAGTCACTTTGAGCAGCATTTTTAAATTGTAATCCCAGAAACAAAGACTTCTTCACTATCATCAATTCTTATTTAGGACTACTATTAGTGATGTGAACTTCAATGAACTTAATGTTGTCCATTATTGAAAGGAATATTCTTCGTTCTCATTATTTTTGTTAATGTTGTTATAATCTCTAATCTTACCGACATTCAATTAGCTGTTTTTCAACCAATCGCAGATATACCTTCGAGACAACTTTCATTAAGAAGGTCAAGACCCTAAAACGTGGAAAGCACAAAGCGCTTTTGTCTCTAAAGCATATTTGTAGACAACTGTGTTGAACATCATAGGGTAACTAACATGAACTTGCGGTGCAGCTATGAGTGTTAGATTAGAGTAGTTAGTACAACAATTCACTAGTAAGGACTCATTTTCATTGAATGACACTACCACATCTCAATCAGCTTGCTATGACTTTACCTAGTAGTAATTGTATGAACTATATGGATTTTTAGAGTCACTTTAACGCTGACCTTGCAAGTGATTTGTCTTGCGTATACTTACCATGTCTCGCATGATCAATTCATCTATACGACAAATCATGCAGTTTAGTCCTTTCAACCTAGTACAACAGAACATAAAGTTCCATACAAATTGTGCGTATATTTCGGCAATTTAGGCTTTCTGCATATAAAATTGGGTTTCCTGTCTACAACACACCATAAATCAATAAAATGAAACAACTCAATAAGGGATTTTACTCAATGTTCAATTATTTCAGAACCATAAGTCATACAGAAAGGGGGGGGTGATCAAAAGGTCTTGAGGTGAGCTATACAACACTGTTACCAAATAATTCATCAGTAAAATAGAGTAATTTGATGGAAAACACTTGTCCGAGATTTGAGTTTTTCACTCTTAGTCCTATATAACACAACCGTGTTTTAGGTATATGATATAAATGAGGACTGACAGACAAACTCTTTAGAATGTAGTTGATGAAAAACAAATATTTAAGGTTTATAAACTAACCCTGGATTTTTAATTTTTATTTTAGGGTTTGAGAAATCCATAATTTGATCATTAATCCTGAAATCTTTGAAAATAGGTTGCTAAGGCTAATTTCTAAGTGGTTACCGGCAGAAACGTTCTGTTCCTCTTCGTTAACTGAAAAAATCAATGATATACATCAGTCATAAAATATTCTGTCTAAATCTTACCCTTTAATTATTTCTCTATTCAAAACACTCATAGTCCTAGACAGTTAAACTGGGTAAACCTCTAAAAAGACGCCAGAAATCTGCGTCGTTCCATTTCTCAGTTTAGACTAATTACAAGCACCTGAACTTCAGTGAGAGTTACAGGCCTGAGATCAATGTTGCATTTAGACCAAAGCTGAATAGTGCTGAATTCAAGAGTAGATAGAAACGAGTTGTAGTGTATTCCAAACTACCTATCCTGTTTTCATGTACTGAAAATAGTCAACTGATGCATTTGTATATCGATGATTGCTGTACCACTCGTTTTATTCTTCATACTATTTTATCTGTGACATCAGTTTAACACTGTTTGATGCTGTTGCCTCTTACCCCTATACCAACGCTTATATCTGTTGTCAAAATATTGCATCTGTTTTGCAAAACACCCTTATGTCTGCCTTTTACAGAGGACTGAATGCTTGTAGAATGCACCAATCTTCTATGCATTGATGTGTTACTATGAAAAGTATGGTCGAAGATTGTGAAAGGCTATCGTCGCATATCTTAAGCATTTGAACCTCATACCTCACCATAATCTATCTGACCAATACATGAAGGACTGTCAGCATTAATTCACATGAAAGTTACACGTTCTGTTTTTGAGATTTATTCAAATGTCACGTATACAATGACTTAAGCTGTGAACATACCTATCGTGAATCCTATAAACTTATTAAAATGATTAGTCAGTATCGGTTGAATAAACACAATTTAGATATTATGTATATCATAGACAAAAAGCAAACATCAGAAGCTTTAAAATATAAGGCTTAAGTTAGTGAATGATCAAGAATTTGAAGATAATGTTGAAAAGTTGATAGCCAAACCTAGTTTAAATAATTTAGAAAGCACCGGGAAAGGCATCAAGGATGAATCGAAGTCAAATAAGTAAGAATTTGAGTGTGTCAAAGCATCGGAAACCTCTCAGTCCAAACGATAGTAAGAGTCATTACTTTTGGGATATCTGTGAATGAATTTAACTCGATATCAGTAATCATAAACACCTATAGGCATAACCGTGAAACTCAAAAAAAATTCTGCTATTGAGAACTATCTGATTTTGTTTACTTTGGTTTCAAAGTTTAAGAACCCTGTTATCTTTGACAAAAGTATATGGTTTAAAGAGGTCTATTTTTTTTCACTGCCAACCTTTTGTGACATTTTTTATTGGAATCACTGTGCTCAAGACTGTCACTTCTTTTAAAGCAACTGTCTAAACTTTGACGAAGCTTAAGTTTGTATTAAGTTTATCTTACGCTTCGATGACCATCAAAACCGTCATCCATAATATGCTGGTGTAAGTAAACTAGTTGTTCTTGATAATTAGACTAAATACCGAAGCGTGATAGACCAAGGTTTAGCTGTAAAACTTCCAAAAAGTATAGATGAATATTGAATGCATTTACAAACTGTCATGAAAACGACCAGTAAGGTTGCTTGCGGGTATAAAAGACGTCCAGCTAGCGAACATTGGATCTGTGTGAACACGTTGTAACTTCTCGATCCTCGTTGATGTGTTTCAAAAGGTAACCAGTAGAGTGGTATATCAAAGTCCCTTATAAGACAAATCGAACAGAATTTACGTAATATCCATGAAACCTGGTGGTAAAAATCCTATAAGTCAGATGGAAGAAGTACCTGCATTTGTCAATAGTCGTATGGTGTTTCAGTTCATCTAAGCCACTAGAAGCAGTAATTCTGGTCTTAGTGAAATGGTCTTTGAAGTAGGTAGTATGCCAATCCGCAACTTTTTCCAATGCCTGACGGGTTAAATGGAGCACTTTAAAGGGGGTCACGACGTTAACCTAGTTGCAAAAGGTTGAGCATACAATGTATCCATGCATGCCTGTGAAATCTGACCTCTTCAAGTTGAAAATGTCCAACAACTCTGGGTTTTTGATTATCGTTGTCTCTGTTGGATTGCCTGCTTTTAGTGGAAACAACACTCATGTAATTCTAAGGTGAGGTAGGGGATTCTTGGGTGAAATGAAAATCATTATATGTTGACATTGGTCATCTTGAAACGTAGATTTCATTGCCTTGAACATCCATCAAGAATGTAATTCAGGCGGGTGCCATATCATTCACTGTTTTCTTGCCGTGAAGCTAGTTATGAGAAACGGAGAGATGATCGGGACTCCATGTGGTGTCATGGGATGAAGCATAGTCGTGGTAGGTCAGAATCTATATGTTCCTCAAAATTCAGTGGATGGTGTACAAGAAATCATGAACCCCAGCAGTTTGAAACACTGTCAGACAGGGATAAGAATTGAAACCAGCGGTGATCGCCCTTCGGCTTTCCCGTTTTTCTACTGCTGAAAAGTAAGATGAAAGTAGTTAGCTCTTCCTTCTGTCATTGGTTACCTTCTTCCAACCTCGCGTTACTTTATTCTTTGTGTTGCACCAAGTTTGTGTTCAAATGAACAAAACAATAAGGACTAATACTTACTGGAAAATCATTAAAAACCTGTAAGTATTGAACAAAGATTTTGTTCTAGGTCACAGTTTAACTGGATAATGCACATCCACTACCCTCCGATGGATGTAGCCCAGAACTATGAACCGTGCAAAAGAGCATAAAATTTTTCAGTCACTGTCTTGAAATTCACTAATCCGGACATACTGGGATCGGGTAGGGAACCAATAGAAATGTGGGAACACTAGATAGTTGTTAAGATGTCGTAAAATAGGATTTATTTTCTTTTTATATATTATTTTCTACTTACCTTCATCAGGTTTGAGAAATAGCATCTCTATCTCGTCAATGTATACAAACAATGGCATAAGCTGTTTTGTTCACATCTTGTACGGTGATATCTTAGTGTCTAAAATTGATTATAATGCATATTTCAGACATAATCATTTATGCTTAAACCAAGAAAAAAGAAAAACCTACTTCCAAATATCCAGTATAGATGCTTAATATTGATTTATTTTGTTTAACTTAAAGTATACTCTTAGTACAACGAATCTTCATATAAGCTATTAACATTTTATTTATTTTATCCATTTCAGGGATATATTCTTTTATAAAGACGAATAATATGAACTGTAGTAAACTGATAGACTAGTTACACTGTAGAACATATGATAAATAATCCGAATATCCTAAAATGTATTATTTGATTAACAAAGTGAAAATGACTTCCTAATATAGGGTGTACTTGATGATGAAGAATAAAATAAATAAATACATTTATGTTCTTTCTAACTTTATTTTGCCTAATATTTCCATATATACATATCTGTAAACTATGAAAAAAAAAAAAAATTCTTTTCAATTTTTTCATAGTTCATCAAGATTCAAGAAGCTGTCAGCGTACAGAAGAAATAAAAACTGAAAGAAGTAAGTAATTATACCCATTTATCTATTATCAAGTTATTCGTTTAAAATCTTCTCAAACTAGAGATATACAGAATAAAGACTTCATTATGAAGTAAATGCTGTTAAAATTGTCTAGTATAATGATCAATTGTCTAAGAATTAACCTGAATATCAAGTAATTATCTTCATTTTGAACTATAAATCTCTACTATCTTGTAAAAGGATAAGTTGGCATTAGTAGGCTAATCATACTAACAAAGACCTATTTTAATCAAGAAATATACCTTTTTATTTCATTGATATAAACTCCTATTATTGTTAATTAATAATTCAACTGTTCCTTGAAATTTAAGCTGTCTGATAAGATTACGTTAATTGAATGAGTATTCATTGTGCCTTGTAAATATTACCCAATTAAACCTTGGATGAGTTTACTAGTAGAATAAAAGCTCACATAAGGCAATATAATTTTTCTTTTAAAAACATTCAGAGATGAAGTAAATTTTTTTTTTTTCGATATCATCTTGATGATTTCAAACAAAACTAAATGTGTTACATCTAACTGGAAAGTGGAAAAGAATAAAATGAGCTTATTTCATTTCACTTCCTTTCATCAACTACCTGAGTACAGCCTATAACTGTGATAAAGTATTAGTAGTTATAATGATATAACATACTCTAAAATATTTAGGAATAAATGAAGATTTAAAATTCAAGATTAACAATAAGGTGATGAGTTAAGGAAATAGCAGGATTAATGATTACAAATCTTAATCAAAATCAGTAGGAATTTATATGTGATGAGATGAAAAATTTTGGAGCTGTGAAGAGGTATAAAAGAAGGGTTTGTTAAAGAGCTAATCGATTATGAAATTACATGAAAAATCTGAAAAAAAGTATCAGGTTGAGTGGAAGCAAGTACAAAAGAAGGGGGTAAAAGTAAGGTAGAAAGGTCTTTACTAGCATGATCGCTAAGTGCCTAGTGTGAACACGACATCAAACAGATGTTTCTCAATCCTTCAGGACAATCAACAAACAAAAGACGCCATGTCTATTACCGCTTACCGAAGCTCTCTTCGTCAAACATTTCTAAACTGACCTATGTACTCAGAAAGATACTGTAATTAACCTTTCTTTACCCTTGTAATTGTATGCACACAGTCTTCCTTTTCTTCGCTGCATCATCTATTCATTAATTACTTACTGACTGTTAATCACTCGGACAAACGTTTCTCTAGCTTTTCCATATAATTCAATAACCTATTAGCTCTTTAACAAACCCTTCTTTTACACCTCTGTCTGTTTTTGTTCCCCTCCTCTCCACAGCTCTAAAATTTTCTATCTCATCAAATATAAATTATCACTGATTTTGACTAAGATTTATGACTATTCTTGAGATGAATGGGAATTTTTAATTTGAAAGTAGTATTCATCATGGACTGACATCAGTTGGGGAGCACTGTGAGCACTGGACAACTGTTTCATCCTAGTATGGGACTCCTGAACAGTACGCACCCACGACCAGGCTAGGGGTCGAACCTAGGACCTTCAGGTTTCACGGCGAACGCGTTAAGCATTCAGCCACTGGGTCGATTTCCAGTGGTTCACAATTTCCAACTTATAATATTCTGTTTCCTTGACTTACCACCTTATTGTTCATCTTGGATTTCAAATCTCCATTCATTCCTAAATATTTTAGAGTGTGTTATGTCATTATAACTACTAATTCTTTACCCCAATTGTAGGCTGTACTCAGGTAGTTCATGAAAAGAAGTGAAATGAAATAAGCTCATTTTATTCTATGAATGTCTTTGTTCTTGCTTTATTCAGCTTTGTCATGGCAACTGAATGTAAGATGTTTCTGAAAAGGAATGCACCATGAAATATTTCTGAATAAGAACCAGCTTCCATTACACATTAAGAAATTGGAATAGGAAGCTTAAAAGTGGAGCTGTGGCTCAGACGTCTAGGGAGTCAACTTTTAACCAGTGAATCATGGGTTCAACGTTTATGCAACCAAGTAGTTGTATCATTATTCCTCACAAGATAGATGTGACTCACAGCCAGCTGGACGAATAAACACAAGGTTGCCGAATGGATTTCGATATTCGAAAGGTAGTAATTCAAAAAAAGATTTATCAAAACTGAAATAATAATATTTTGTTAAACTAAATGATACAATATGATTGAAAGTTGTGATGAATTCATTCTAAAAGTATAAACAATCAAAATTGAAGAGCTGCTAAGATGTAATATGTTTGAGAATACGTTGTGTGACAACTCAGAAAAAAAGGAATTCACCGCCATCTATCGATTTCATGAGAATCTCATACAAGGTATTCTACTGAAAACACTTTAAAAAAACTGCTAAATCGATGAGAATTTATCCTATAAAGCCTAATCTCCGGGTCTAGAAGTAATCAAACCTTAAATGTTTGATTTTTACATTGCACCCATCTATTTCTTTCACCTAGATTGCATTACTTAACTCGATAAATTCTTATCGCTTAACTCCCTAAAAATCTTTGTTTTAATTACTACATGTAATAATACGTAACTGCTTTTTTCGACTGTTCAATGTGTTATTCAACATTAAAATATTATTTAAAAAGGTATTACTTGAAACATTCCTTTTTTTATGTTATCAACTAAGTGTAATATTCAATGTACAGTTGTATATCTTGAGAATGGAATCTCAGAAAAGATTAACTTCACACTGAATATTGGAAGAAAACAAATCCAATCATAAGAAAAGAGAGATGATTACTGTGAAGAAAAAATTTCTCTCTTTTGACGAAATGATTCCTTTAGCCTTACATTCATGAATACAAAGTGGAAATGATAGAACTTTCTAGAGTGATTTCTGGTCAAAGATCAAAATAAATTGTATAACAAAGGAAAGTTACCTAATGTCTCTAAACGTTTAAAAGAGAGAAATAAAAAAGACGATTACAAAGTCATATATATAGTTACATTATAAAAGAACTATGTAGGGTAATGAATCTTCTACGATAGCTGTGATAAGGAGAGAAATTGTACATATTTCTTTTGAAAGTATATTGATGGTTTCAGGTTTTGAATTGCTAATGCTTTAGCTATGCCCAGATGTCTTATACTTACTGTTTTCGGGTGATTTGATCACACTTTGTACAAACTTCTATAGGACTTTTCGAAAAAGGTCAAGTATTCTGAGTTTAAAAAGTGTTCTATTACAGAGCTGAAGATGTATTTCTGTTCACCTTTGCCATGATCATCGTAGAATATGGATCACTCTATCTAATTCCTTTATGATGTAACTGTATCTCATTTTGTTATCATTTCGTTTATTTTCCAGTTTTAAACACCTATAAATATTGTGTAACGTTCCTTTGTCATGCAGTTTGTTTTTACCTTTGACCAGAAGTTACCCTAGAATGTTCTATCGTTTCTACTATATATTCACGAATGTATGACTAAGAGAATGGCTTTGTCGGAAAGAAAGGAAATTTCCCCTAGCCCTAATCATCTCACTTTTCACTATGGTATTCATCATAGACTGGCACTAATGGGAGGAACATTGGAAACCTGAGAGCACTGGACCGTAGTTTCGTCCTAGTTTGGGGCTCCTCAGCAGTGGGTATCCATGACTCAACCCCACCAGAGGTCAAACCCAGGACTTTTGGGTTCCATGGCCATCACGTTAAATCATTACCCAGTGTCATCATTTAGTACTTATCCTTACGTTCACTGGCTTTCCTTGACCGGTCATGACTTCCCATTGGAACTTCAGGAATCACCTCTCGAAACTAGTCACCAATGAGCACTGGATTATCTCAATCCGGGGATTTGTGGGGATTTATTGGTTTCAGTTTGGTAATCAGTGGCTCAATGGTAGTGTGCTAGCCCCTGAACTTGAGGGTTCCAGGCTTGATACTTGATGGGGATGAGTTATGGGTGCGTACTGCCAGGGATTCCCGTACTAGGAAGAAATAGCTGTCCAGTGCTCCTAGGTTTCCAATGTTCCTCCAACTGAAATATATTCTTATCAGTAGCAAGCTACATTGTATATGCATATATATATATATATATATATATATATATATATATATGAGTAGAAATGAACGAAAATATGTTTCAGGTTGTATCGCTTGAGATTTATAATACTAAGGATACTACTAAACAATGTCATTTAGTAGTTTGGAAATTTTGACGTTTACAATAGTTGTTTGTTTCAATTACTTGTTTCATAAATATTCATAGTAATTCGACTAGTGAAACAAACGAAACCATGCTGCAGTGAAGCTGAGAATGTAGATGTTTGAAAAGCTAATTGTTTTCTTTACAAAGTGTTGATGTTGTTCACATACATGATAGTATTTAACATTACGCTCTCATTAGTAATGAGGCATGGCAGCTAGCTTCATCCCATTTATGACCCTTCAGCTGAAGCGAAGTGACTGTTATAACTCAGTGGCGTAACCAATAATGTCCTGGCATTCGAAGTGGTCGGTTCTCAGTTCAAGTGTTAGTGATAACAATATTACCCATTGGAAGGCAGGCTCATGCACTTGACGAGTCCCAGATAGGACGAAATGCACACCCTTAACTTCATCATTAATATCAAAGTTTAAAATACCGACAATATCAAGGCATTCACTCAGCAACTCTTATGCCTATAGTGATCGATCAATTCGACTGGATCAACGACTGAGATTCACAAGTTGTAATATCATAACTTTGTCACACACATACACACTGAAAAACAACTCAGGCTGAGCAAAATAAAGTTTCACAATCAGTCAGAATTGAATAATTTCATGAAAAGTAGGTTTTTGAAGCGCCTGTATAACGTCAATAGCGACTCAGTTGTTACACTAATTCTATCATATATGCATTATACTGGTTAATTTCAACTTAAAATATAATCAAGATGAAACGCAAAGCAGTTGCACATCACTCTGCTTAGCGGTTACATTACGAAACTTGATCTGCATATTCTGATTAGATTTGAGTACTTTGGAATAAATAGCTACATTGACTATCCACTAGTAATCAATTATTGTGCATAGTCCAGTCCTACAGTGAATCAATCATAGCCCGATTCGATAATTGGTTAAGTCCCTGACTTCAATAGTGAGTGGTACAGATTTGAATTATCTAGGGAACATTCATTTTCTCATGATTGTAAATATCTCTTTGTAATGAGTGCTAGCAAGCACGAAACTTGGATCAAGCAGGGTTTTGGATCTATTGACTCTTTATCATCCAACGAGAAGCTGGTGATATAATGAGTATAGTCAAGAGAACGTCTTGAAACCATGATGAACGGTGTAAAGTGTTCAGCATATTTCAAAGAAAAATTTACGCTTGGTATGGAAGGCTTAGTTTTTGAAAACATTTTTTTTTCATTACAATGAAAAGCCTCTATTCTGATGTTTCTACTTTGAATAATATTTAAAAAAAGGGAATGTACTACCATGACGTCAAGTACCGTTTGCGTGATTATAAATTGCTCTAGTAGTGCACGGTAATCAACTAGATATTTACTAAATAAACTAACTTCAAAGGCTTATTGTTTTCAAAGTAACCTGAATGTATTTGTTAGACGTGACAACCCATTAACTGTTGTCATGTGAAAGAAAAGACAAATTTCTAACAAAAACTACTCAGAAATTACAAAAGGGCTACTTGCCCTTAAGTTAATGTGACATCAAATACTGGTAATAAAGTGAATTAATCTTGCAATTTATGAGAAAAATGTTATTTGATAGACTCATAATTGAAAATGAAATAAAAGTATAGATTGTGACATGATTTAAGCCATTGGACACAGGATTTAACTTCAATCATCCAGCGTTTCATCTAATTGTCATCTGAATACATGTACACATCTGTTGATTCATTCTTATGATACCAGGTGCCCAATCAACTAGAGTGTTTTATTGATATAACTAAAGAGACTACTTCAAATAAACACCATTGGTCATGTTTGATGGAATCACCGTGTTAGCAATGTTAAGGTTAGTCAGATGAAGGATATTGGGCAAGATAGGCTAGTCGATTGATAAGTTTGTGAAGCTTACTCGACTGAAATGACTTGGACATGTACAACGCATACCGATCAATCATCTACCTCGAAATGACATGTTAGGGGAAGTTGAATTAGATAGCAATAAACCTCAGGGCGGCCAACCAGTCCATGAAATCATTCACTGTTTGTCTCAGCCGTATGAGGAGATGAAGACTAGCTGGTTGAGGTCTTAGACATGAAATGAATCGGTAGTTGAAAACTCTTGGTAACTCGACTGAAGATAGCTCAAAATGAAGCAAATACATTCACTCCTTGACATCTAAAGCTATAATATTCACACTAACCGTTATCTTCTAACTGTTTATTCTTTTAAACAACTTTGGCTACTTTGACACCATTCTTTTTCTATCCACGTGTTCTCTGTATACTACTGTGAAGTGTGGCAACTTGAAGCGATACACTTGTGTGTGGTGATCTTCGTTGATTTCATCCGTCTGTCTACCTATTCTCCTTTATCGATATGATGTGATATTTCTTTTATGAATGGAAACCTTAGTATAATTTGTGTTCCAAAATGTTTACGTCAAATAAACAAAAAATGTTTTAACAACTTTCATTTTCTTTATTTATGTAATCATAATTCCCAGTTTTCTTTAATTTTAGGAGCTGAAGAAGAGCTTCATTATCAATATCCTATGTCTAAAGGTAATTTTTTCTAATTCTGTCTTCTCAATTAGCCTTGAATATAGTTGACCACTGAAAACTATGCAAAAACAATCGTATTTTATAAAATGTAGCTAACGTTATTCAGAAAATGCTAAATAAATGATGAGTAATAGATAAAATCTAACGGATTAGTTTAGAGATGTTAGTATTCTTACTAGGAAGTGGTAAATATCTGAGATGTTGAAGACAACAGCAGTGCGTATGAATGCATTTCTATGAGATTTACAGGGAAATAGATGTGATAAATGAGTATGTAAAATATGACTATCAATTTTCTAACTTGGTGTTTCATATTGCAAAAACATCAATGGAACTCAATCAGAACTCGGAAGTAGTCACAGAGAGCCATCATGTGTACAATTAATGTCATTTATTACACACAAATACTTTCAGTTACTGTTGATCATCATTTTAGAATAAATGGATTTATCTCTGTTCTAATTTTAGTATTTACTCGATAACAGCGAATAACACCATCATGAAACTATTACGTAATATCAAGATGTTTGTTCTAAATGCTCAGATGCTATCAGAGATTGAGCATTCCTAGTAATTGCAAGTATTATAAAACAGTGTATGAAATAGGCTTCATTTAAGAGGAGAAATCCCAGACTGAGTATAATTTTTTTTCAGTTAACTACACAGAAGGTGTTTTTGGTAACCACAGCAACTCATATGCACAAAAACGAGTCATCTGACTTTTACGGAATGTTGTTTTCTGTTTCTAAGGTACTCTAACATTAATTTTTAGTACATCAATTGAATTCTTAGTTTTGTATACATTACTTTGACTTGTCTGTTTAGTTCGAGGTTCAAAACTTCGTTTAATGTTGTGACATTATCTGTATACATGGAAATGTACGTGATGTACATAAAATTCTAATTGTACCTCACCTGGTTAACTAGTTCACTAGTTACTAGCCAGATCCAAGCCCATATAAAGAGGGAAGGTTGGGTATACGGCCAGCAACCGGAAAACCAATCCAACCACTACAGAAACTTCAAATCATAAAGAAAATATAAGAAATAGAAATAAAATTATTCCTCGCTGTAATCGGGGAGACGAAATGACACAGGTTGTTGAAAGCCTTCGGGAAGCCAAGTAGTCGGTGCGGCTTCTTCCTCGGTGAAAGCAAAATAGAAGAATGGGGACATGGAAAGTCCGCACCATGTTTGAACCTAGCAAGGCAGTCCAGATTGCAAACGAGATGAGCAGGTATCGCATCGAAGTGTTAGGAATTTGCGAAAGCAAATGGAATGGAAGTAGACTCTTCAAACTGTCAACTAAAGGATTAATAATCTACTCTGGTTACCGAGACGACAACCACTAGCACACTGAGGGAGTGGCTGTCATGATGTCCCCAAGAGCGTCGAAAGCTCTCATGCAATGGGAACCAATCTCCTCCTCCACGGTCATGACAACAAGATTCAAATCAAAAGGAAGGAATGTCACAATCATACAATGCCAATACCACGCACCTGAAAATAATGCGGATCATGAGAAGAAGGAGGAATTCTCAGGACAACTTCAATCAGTACTGGACAGGACCTCAGTTGCCGACGGTGACATCAAAATTCTAATGGGTGATATGTGTGTCAAAATGGGAGCCAACAACATACAATGAGAACTCACCATGGGTCAAGAAGCGCTCAGTGAAATGATGAATGAGAATAAAGAACTGTTTGCAGACTTCTGCTCATTCAGTGATTTGGTGATTGGAGTCACTGTGTATAAACACAAGAATATCCACAAAGCCACATGGATTTCACCAAATGGATACGCTAAAAATCAGATCAACTTCATCTCAATGTGGAGAAAGTGGAGACGCAGCCTACTGGACACAAGACGGGCTCAAGTAGGGGAGCAGATGTAGGTTCACACTATTCACTAACTACCTCAAGAAACCGACATTCAAAATCAAGTTGAAAGCCTTCACAGAAGCCGGTGATGATAGAATGCAATTCGAGTTCCACATCCACAACAGAAACTAAAGGACGAAACTGCAAAAGACATCTTCATATCAGCCATCAGAATGAAATGTGAGACACTGAGCAACATACCTGAAGTATTGGGCGTGAAAGAACACTGGAAACCTTGTGATAGAGATGTGGAAGGAAACCTGCATAACAGTATTAGGAAGGAAGAAAAAACAGGACAAGGAATGGATCTCGACGGACACATGGAGGAGAGGAAAATGGTGAAGCAGAACATGGACCAATGCAGTGCAGGGATGATCAACGAAAAGAGGAACTGAACAAAACCTATTAAACACTACACTGGACAAACAAGTGAAGAAGAGTGCGCGCAAAGACAAAAGACATTTCTACGACACACTGGCAAGTGAAGCAGAACAGGATGCAGGTAGGAGAGCTAACAAAATTATATCAAATAACCAGGTTACTATCTGGGATGGAGATCAACACGGATGGAACCAATGAGAGATAGTGAAGGAAAGCTAGTTACTAAGGAGGAGAAACAAGGATCCGAATATGCTGACCACTTCAAAAAACTCTTCAGCCCACTACCACTATTACCTGCACCTCATCCGGAAATACCACCAGCAAATGCAGAATTACCAGTCAACACAAGTCCTCCGACAAACGCACAAGTCCTGAATCCCATAAAAATGATGAAATCCAGAAAGGAGCAGGACCAGCAATCCTAACACTGGTTTATGCTTGAAAAGTGAAAACTGCTTACTCATTTCAAAAATCATACTCTCAGTAAAAAATATTGTCACAAACTTGATGCAAAAATGAGTAACCAACATAGTTGATGTTTCCTTCTGTCTTATAAAAATAAACCATATTATATAAAAGATATACCACCAGCAAACGCAGAATTACCAGTGAACACAAGTCCTCTGACAAATGCACAAGTCCCGAATGCCATAAAACTACTGAAATCCACGAAAGCAGCAGGACCAGATCAATTCTGACAGAAGCATTGAAAACACACCCACAGACAACAGAGGACATCCTCACATCACTATCACAGAAGACTTCCAAGGAAGAAGGAAGTAAGGAAAGGTACTTGCTGATCGATTGGAAGGGCGGCACATTGTCAAGCTCCCAGAGAACGGAGACCTAAGTCTATGCAAGAACTCGCACGGAATCATGCTCCACCCCTGTCCATCTCAAGCAAAATATTCACCCTCATCATCCTGGAGAGACTGAGAGATTGAGGCTGAGGTGATTCGAAATACGACCGTGAGGGGCAGGCTGACTGGATTCAGGAAGAACAGATCACGTCCGAATCAGATTGCAACGCGACGCTACGCTACACCTCATCATCGAACAGAGTAATGAATGGTAGTCAACTCCCCACCACAACTTCATCGACTTTGAAAAGGCCTTCGACAGCGCCGACCGAGAAGTAATTAGGCAGGCAGATGCTTCAACACTACAGAATACAACAAACCTTCATCAATCTCGTTCAACAGCCAGCTATGTGAATACGGCACATGCCTAGCGATCCACAATGGAAAGCTCAGTGACGCCTTTGAAGTGAAGATAGGTTGACATGTAAGGCAAGACTGTCTACTATCACCGATCATCTTCCTGATTGTGGCTGACTGCACTGAACTGGATGATGCAGCAGACGATTGTGAGGAGTGAGAAGATGGGAATACGCTGACTGGACGGATGGAAAGAGCTTCGAAGATTTGTATTTTGCTGATGCTGATTCATGTCTAATGTCTTGTCGCACAAACTCGAATATGTACAGACTAAAACCAACAAGTTGACAGGAGAGGTGATGAGGCAAGGCAGCGAAGACGGGACTTCAAGTGACTGTAGAGAAGACGGAGGTGATGCAGATATCCAACTAACAACAGCATCAACAACAAGAGGCACTAGTCCCCATGAAGGGGAGAGACCTGGAGGAATTAGTCTCTTTCACCTACACACTCACCTAGACAGGCAGCATCATTTCAACTACAGACGACACAGGCTCAAATGAGGATGTCAAAGGCATCATCGGAAAGACAGCATGACAGGCCTCCATTATTCTGTGCAGTTCAGTGTGGAGATCTACTGCACTGCACTCAGCACAAAGCGTGAACGAGATACGGATTTTCAACACTAATTCAATGCAGTAAGTCAGTGCTGCTGTATGGTTCAGAAACTTGGCGTGTCACGAAAAGCACTGCCAACAAACCACAGACACTCATCAACAGCTGCCGCCTACACTCGGTCGATACCGAGGATCAGATGGGAAGGTGAGAAAGAATAAGCAACAAGGAACTCTGACTGGCCTGTCAACGAACCAACGAAGCAGGAACCTATCACCTAACAAATATGTACTGTAATAAAGTGGAGATGGAGTGGACATACACTGAGAAGACGGTTTGAGGACATAATGTGCCAGTTCGGTCTGTTGAGTGGAATTCAGATGGGAAACGACGAGTTTGGTGTGCCATGTGAGGGTGACATGGAGGAGATGATGTGAGGAAGAAATGAAAGCTTGTGGGCAGTCTTGGTGCCAGGTTGAAAAGAGTGAATCGAACAGAGTGGAGGGGAGGCGTGCTCCTGAATTCCTATGTTCCACTAGGAACCCAAGTGAATCATAATAATGTTATTAATAATTAGTTAGTCAGGAATCCCTGAAATGCTGGTCGTCAGCAGAGAATTTCAGTGCCATCTCGGTATATAATGTTTACTCTCCTGCGTCCTGTCTAGAATTGCTCTTTTTTTAGATGTTTTGTCATATTTCTTGTCATATGCGTCATCAGTCTAGTGCCTGCGCAATGAAAGATTCTAGCGATGTCATAAATCTTGAATTTCATACAAAAGGGATTTGACTTTTAGTGCTATTATTGTAACTAGTCATTGACTCTTTAAGTTCACCTCTTCGCAAACTGCACTACTGCAAGTTGACATGCCGACCAGCCCAGTACCACCATATTTACAGTGATTTTTTGATTGTTATCAGTCTGTGCTGTATGCCGCCTTGTAATATAATCTTACAGTATAAGTCGAGTAGGAAGTGTAGAATTCCATCCAGTGTAAATAAAATTTAGAGTTGTTTCAACTGTCAAAGGCATTCATTGTATTTTGCACACATACCGTACTTTACCGGTTCTGTCTCTTTGGAATAAAAAGTCCTGGAAGCTATCAAAAAATTATGTTAATTTTGTCAAAGTAATCACTTTTCACATCATTTTGTATTTACCTACTTCATACAGTTTTCCATAAACTTGCGATTATATCTCATAATTGTAGTTATTGATTACTTATGTTTTATAGATTCATCGGTAACTGTTGTCGAACAAAATGCTACTTACAAATGCTTATGAGTAGTATTGTATTGTTGATATATATAACTGTTTATGTTCCCTTTTCATCCTTTTTCTTTTTAATCCTATAAACTGTTTACTGATTTAGTTGCCGAATAGTGAATGTGTATTTTGTTATGATTATGTTATTGTGATGAATTTCTGCCTGCAGCATGTATCTGGTTGACTTTCATTTTCTTATACAACAAATTTGCATGGTTTACAGTGGAACACATGATTTTCAGTCCTAAATCAGATTTAAAACAGAGGGTTAAAGTGTATAAAGTGTTTCATCAGTGTTGAGAATGCATCATGATTCTGTCTATTTACAAAGTAAACTCATGTGTGCATATCATACATTACTCTGTCTATGAACGTTTGAAATTATAAAACGAGTATAAATAAAGTATTAGTATAGGAATTTCATTATACCTGAATGTGTTAAACCAATATGGAATTCATTCCTATTGTAATGTTTTTTATTTAGTCTCATTTCATTTATTTTATACATGATGACCTGTATATAAGAAGTGACTGGTTAATGTCAGACTCTAGGCTTTCTTTAAAGTGAATTGTTGCTTTATGAATGAAAAGAATTACTATTGTACAGTTGGGAGTTTATCTGAGCATAACTGATCAGTTGCATATTGTCCCGACACTCATGAGAACTATAATTGAAGGGAGAACAGGAAGTAATAGTCCTGTTTCTCATGAACTAGTTAGAATATAGACAAGAACAGCTGTTTATGTAGTTGATTTACATGATCACTGACCATCAGATAACTTACAGAAAAGATTATTTATCCATATTGACTATGGATGTATTATTTATAGCATTGTAAAGTATTACAACTTGCTCTTATACACTGCAGTGTAACAGACATTTACTTACAAGAAGGCGATATTCATGTGGGCTCTGAGCTTCATGACATTCTTATGACAACGAGTACTATCCTATAGGTTTTTTAATTCACAATCTCTGGATGATGTAAAGAAAGTAGACGATACACTTTTCTTTCAGAAGGCTAATGAATTACATCAATATCATTTAAACACTCTTACCAAATACCAAGTTATATTTAGAACACCCTTCTCCACGGATCAAATACAAGATAACTCTACAGGACTGGTCACCAACGAAACCTAGTTTAGCTACATAATATGAGGTTGCTAAGTTTGCTGACTGCTTCAGTCACCATGGGTATAAATGACAGTTTATTATGATAGTTTTTCTCTGACACCTACTAGTTATCCACCACTTTCTGCAAGAGTAGAAGAAGTCTCTACTACTCTACGCTACGTCTATAAGGCATGGATGATATATAAAGTGGACAAAACAAAGTAATTATAACTTTTGCAGTCAAAATTGACCTCTGTGCATAGCATATTTGTGATTAAAAGGCAAAATGAGCAATTCTAAGGTTGAGCACAAATTCTTTGGTGATAAATTAGGGTAAAATAATGAGTTTGGTTACCAACCTGGAATATCCTTGACGCATGCTGTGATATGATATCTAACACCTCGAAGTGCAACGTAAACCGTGGTAGAATAAGCTAAAGAAAGTTTAAAAGTCATAATAAGACACTTCATCACACCAAGAAGTTTCTAACTTGACTTGTGTAGAAAGCTGGAGCCTACCTATACAGGGGTCCTATAGACATTACGATTGAAAGCATGAAAATACCCGAAATTTCTTACAGTGGTGTAAGTGAATTGACTTTACCTTACCCAAAATACTGTATATCTTAGTAACTTTGATTTATTCATCCTCTTCTTTCTCGGCAGCCAGGTAATATCTTTGAGCCTGAAAGTAACACCATGCATTCGCAATACGCATCTCTCATCATGACAGTCTCTTGATTTTCTGACAGAAAGTCATCAAGACAACTGAAAGTGTAATTCCATTTTGGTACATGGCTATCTAATTATCAGTAACAAAACATAGTTACAATGAATCTAGACACAAGTGATTTATACAGCAATATATTTCGATCGAAAAAGACAAAATGGAGTGTAGGTACGAGATGAATATCCATTGCAGAAATATGGTAGTTGATAAGTCGTTTCTTTCTGTTCCAAGGGTAGATGCTTTGCCGCTGCTATACAGGCGTAAAAACAATCATTGTATCGTTTTTGAGTTTTTGCTCAATCGCGCTTAGTATTTGTAACTGCAGTTTGGTAAACTAACTATCGAATTCTTGAACCCTTCTATGGATTCACTTCTTCACTCGATTTATGTACATAAAACTAAGGCATAGTTCAGCAACGTTTGTAAATCCCTTCAGTTACTATTTGTTACTTTGCATTCCTGCTAAAAGTACATAAATTAAACCCAATGCATCATTATATAAATAAGTTTTAATATAATCCCAGTGTTAGTGTTATTGCTTGTATGACACCGTCGTTGGTTGGACCGAATTGATCAGTCTCTGTTGGCATATGGGCTCTTGTGTGGCTGCCTTGATACTGCCTGTGTTTTAATTATGTATAGTGATGATGGACAGTGGCTAGCAGTTGAACCCAGCTGACGAGTCCCAAGTAGGACGAAATGCGCATCCGAGATTCCACTGCTAGCCACTGCCCACTACTATACATAATTCCGGTGTGTTTAGAAAACCAAAAACAAGACTTTTCTGAACCTTTCGCTGTGTATCCTACAGCTTCTTCAGCAGAGTATGCATAATGATTAAACCTGACTCAGCACTCAACTCCTTTCAGAATATACATCATTTTCAACTTTAAATATAACAAACTATCATAAAAGATAGTAGTAAGGATAAATACTACTAGCTAGCCTGAGAATCCGAAAGGTTTGTTCCCTTTTGTTTACGATTCGTCAGCTAGACATATTTGCCTCGTAATGTTGAGATTCTCATTGAAAGACTTGAAACCAACACCCAACATTTATCCTTCTCTCTGTCAAAATAAAATAAAATGGCTATCTTGAGGCATCCATAGAGGAAGATCATATGCCAACAATAGCAGATCGATTCAGTCAACAACTGGGAATAACAAGCTACAGTATTACTAAATACTGTTTACATCATTTGGACAATGAGAAATGCTTTAGTCATATGCAACTATTTCATCTCGTTACTACTTATATAATTTGAGATAAAATAATGATTTTGATAAGTGATATTTGTGGCGTTAGAGCTGACCGCAATACATATAAATCACTGACTATTATCGTGACCATTTTACAAGCCAAAATTATATTTCCTTGTGGACAGTAGTTGTATCTCTTGGCACAGCACTGAAACAGTCATCATCAGACATAACAGATCAATGAGTTACTTGACTGATTGTTTTTATAATAAAGTGAGTAGATATTTCACTGTTGTCTTGAATAATACTATTTTTGTATTCTTTTTTTCTCATCGTTTTCTAGTTCAGCCGCATAGAACAGCAAGTCAAACAAATATCAGTGGACCGACATCGATGACTAAAACAGCATGGTTATCAGGTTAGTTCACCTACATAATATAAATATTATCCGACCTATTTTGCGTAAGTAATAACGTTCCAGAAAGTGTCAGTTTTTGTTATCATCTTATACACCAAGTAATTCAAGTCATTAACAGTCAATCAAATATATTTAACTGGCAGTCATTAGTCCTTTCTTTATTTTACATTTGAAAAGTTTCTATTGGTTACCAGTAAATATTCACTGGACCAAGTAACCATTTGAAAAGTGGAACACGTAACACATTATTTTAGTGTTATTCCTTGTATGACACCGTCGTTGATTGAACCGAATTGATCAGTCTGTATTGGCATATGGGCTCCTGTAAGGACGCCTTGATATTGCCTGTGTTTTAATTATGTATAGTGATGGTGGGAAGTGGCTAGAAGTGGAATCTAGGATGCAAATTTCGTCTTGTTTGGGACTCGTCAGCTGGATGTACCTGACTCCCAGTGAGTGATGTTCCCACTGGGACTCGGACTTGGGAGAGATCGATTCAAACGCGACAGCTTCCCGGTGGGAAGAACATCACTCACTGGGAGGCAGGTACATCCAGCTGACGAGTCCCAAATAGGACGAAATTCGCATCCTAGATCCCACTGCTAGCCACTGCTCATCATTACTGTAACACACTATTGTTTTAATATTCATACTTTGTTCAAAAGGTCCTACAGATAATTTTGTTATTTATAACACCGTTTATCTAAAATAAAGGAAAAATACAGTATCAATAGGAAAAATTTATTTTATATAGAATGCATCAGCAATCCTAACACTGGTTTATGCTTGAAAAGTGAAAACTGCTTACTCATTTCAAAAATCATACTCTCAGTAAAAAATATTGTCACAAACTTGATGCAAAAATGAGTAACCAACATAGTTGATGTTTCCTTCTGTCTTATAAAAATAAACCATATTATATAAAAGATATACCACCAGCAAACGCAGAATTACCAGTGAACACAAGTCCTCTGACAAAAGCACAAGTCCCGAATGCCATAAAACTACTGAAATCCACGAAAGCAGCAGGACCAGATCAATTCTGACAGAAGCATTGAAAACACACCCACAGACAACAGAGGACATCCTCACACCACTATCACAGAAGACTTCCAAGGAAGAAGGAAGTAAGGAAAGGTGCTTGCTGATCGATTGGAAGGGCGGCACATTGTCAAGCTCCCAGAGAACGGAGACCTAAGTCTTTGCAAGAACTCGCACGGAATCATGCTCCATCCCTGTCCATCTCAAGCAAAATATTCACCCTCATCATCCTGGAGAGACTGAGAGATGCCATGGATTCAAAATTACGACTGTGAGGAGCAGGCTGACTGGATTCAGGAAGAACAAATCATGTCCAAATCAGATTGCAACGCGACGCTACGCTACACCTCATCATCGAACAGAGTAATGAATGGTAGTCAACTCCCCACCACAACTTCATCGACTTTGAAAAGGCCTTCGACAGCGCCGACCGAGAAGTAATTAGGCAGGCAGATGCTTCAACACTACAGAATACAACAAACCTTCATCAATCTCGTTCAACAGCCAGCTATATGAATACGGCACATGCCCAGCGATCCACAATGGAAAGCTCAGTGACGCCTTTGAAGTGAAGATAGGTTGACATGTAAGGCAAGACTGTCTACTATCACCGATCATCTTCCTGATTGTGGCTGACTGCACTGAACTGGATGATGCAGCAGACGATTGTGAGGAGTGAGAAGATGGGAATACGCTGACTGGACGGATGGAAAGAGCTTCGAAGATTTGTATTTTGCTGATGCTGATTCATGTCTAATGTCTTGTCGCACAAACTCGAATATGTACAGACTAAAACCAACAAGTTGACAGGAGAGGTGATGAGGCAAAGCAGCGAAGACGGGACTTCAAGTGACTGTAGAGAAGACGGAGGTGATGCAGATATCCAACTAACAACAGCATCAACAACAAGAGGCACTAGTCCCCATGAAGGGGAGAGACCTGGAGGAATTAGTCTCTTTCACCTACACACTCACCTAGACAGGCAGCATCATTTCAACTACAGACGACACAGGCACAAATGAGGATGTCAAAGGCATCATCGGAAAGACAGCATGACAGGCCTTCATTAATCTGTGCAGTTCAGTGTGGAGATCTACTGCACTGCACTCAGCACAAAGCGTGAACGAGATACGGATTTTCAACACTAATTCAGTGCAGTAAGTCAGTGCTGCTGTATGGTTCAGAAACTTGGCGTGTCACGAAAAGCACTGCCAACAAACCACAGACACTCATCAACAGCTGCCGCCTACACTCGGTCGATACCGAGGATCAGATGGGAAGGTGAGAAAGAATAAGCAACAAGGAACTCTGACTGGCCTGTCAACGAACCAACGAAGCAGGAACCTATCACCTAACAAATATGTACTGTAATAAAGTGGAGATGGAGTGGACATACACTGAGAAGACGGTTTGAGGACATCATGTGCCAGTTCGGTCTGTTGAGTGGAATTCAGATGGGAAACGACGATTTGGGTGTGCCATGTGAGGGTGACATGGAGGAGATGATGTGAGGAAGAAATGAAAGCTTGTGGGCAGTCTTGGTGCCAGGTTGAGAAGACTGAATCGAACAGAGTGGAACGGAGGCCTGCTCCTTAAGTTTTATGTTCCACTAGGATCCCATGTGAAATGTTATAATGATATAAATGATCGACAGTGCCATATATTACCGGTTTATCCTATGTGCACACTACTGACGAGTTCGGAGCCTGGATGATGCAGTTGATCAACGCTTTCATGATGAAAGTATCTTTGAATCTAACTATTACCTTACATACCTTAGGTATAAATATACGAAAATAGTCTGACATTATTTTCTACATCCTTTTGTTGAAAGAATTATTCCATGGAATTGCATGAAATTGAAATTTTTAAAGTGATTTTGGATTTGAATAATGCTGGAACCGGACACCAATGAATTTACAACTCAGTACTCTATGGATAGGTGTACTAGAAGCAGATTTGATGTAAGCCTTATCAGATAGGTCTTTACCTGTTTGTTATGATAATGAAGTTGTGAACGTCAGTCGGTCGAGATGGCTTGGACATGTACAACGCATGCCGATCAACCACCTACCTTGACGTGATATACTACGAGAAGTTAAATTAGGTTGAGATAAAGCTCAGGGAGGCCAAACGAATACGCCGGACCAGTCAACGAAGTCCATGGCCGTTTTTGTAAGCCATGTGAAGAGATGTAGACTGCATGTTTGGGGTTCTTGAGACAAAATGAATCAGTCGACCAAAATGGCACAAATGTATGCACTGCTTGATGGCTTCTATAGCTTGAATATTTTCATTAACAGTTATCTTCAGGCTGTTTATTATCTCAAACAACTTTGTCTATTTTCATATCAGTCTTTTTTCATCCAATTATTCTTTGTATACCTCTGTGAAGTATGCAACTTTATGTGGTATTGTACGTTGACTTTGTCTGTCTGACTTGTCATATGAACGGGTTTTATGTAGCTGTCCTTTATAGATCACAATGTCTACACAGTCATATCTTTACGTTTTTATCCATAAGCTGAATCCGTCAGAAACGGAACTGATGGTTTGTTGATACGAAGATTAAAAGCAATATACCTCGGGAAACATTTAGTCAACTCCATTTTCTTCTCATTTGCAGTCATCATTTCTGTACAAGAAGATAAGTCCGCACAACCAACACTATCGAAAATAGGTGGACCTAGTATAACTCCACAAATCACTAAAGTTTTGGTTATATAGATGGTTTTTTTTGTTTGACTACCCCTAGAGATTTGAAAATAGTTGTGGTTTGTATTGCCACAATAATTCGGTAAACTGGTGACTAAGAAATTCAATTCTGTTAACAGCGCACTGATTGGTCACTAGAGAGTCATCAACTTCATGTTGTCTAGTTCGAAGTGCTGGTCGAGTTCTGTCGATTATTTTGCAATGTGGCCACTAAGTTAGGAGACTCACTATCACAATGCACTGACGGTAATGTACACAATTCAATCCTACAGTAAGTGATTGGTGTCCTGGACACCTCAGTGGTAACTTTTCGAACAGTAACACTGCGTGATGCGAGTCTGAATCTCAGGTGAGACATCAGTTCCCTCTAGGTTGCGGATACGTCATGCTGATGAGTACCAAAAAGTATGAAACCCAGGTGAAGAGCTTTGTGATAATTGCCTCCACCGAGCTAACTGCTAACAGTCCCTACAGTTAATTTCTTGATAATCTTTACGAAAAATGCAGTCCAATCCTAGTAGTGCATTTCCATGCACTAGTCTATGATGTACAATTAGGGTGTTGAGGCTTATAATACTATATGGTTGCCCTGGATGAAATAGTTGGAGTAGAATATGAAGCCAGGATAGACTTTTTAAACCCAATGAATCACAGCCACACACTTTTAGAAACAAAACCGTTGCATTCACTAATCGTACACTAGAGTAATGCATTAATCACCATCCGACTATGGGAATATCACACATTGATCAAGTTTCTTTTAACTGGTAAGCAAAATGAAGTTACCTAAAACTGTAATAATGGAAAACTTAATACCCTTGCAGATAGTTACTTTAGATAACCTTGAAAAAGCCAGTTGTTTTCTATAGGACTTACACTATACAATTATGTCAAGTTGTGTACCACAAGTACCTTTCACTTGTTTTTCTTTGTCTGAGCAGTTTTTCTCAACATTTCAAAGTGGAAGATCTAAAGGCCTGAACTAAATGATAAATACAAATACTTTGAGAAAGAACTTACACTTATTTATATCTTTTGTAAATTAGAGTGAAATTAATGGCTTTTACGATAAATAAATGCCTATAGACAGAATAATTATCAGGAACACTAGATTATTATTATTATTACTTTTCCTTTGGGTTCCTAGTGGAACATAGAGCTTCGGTAGCACGTCTCCACTGAACTCTCTTCTCTGCAGTCTTTTCAACTTAGCGCTAAGACTGCGCATAAGCTTTCATTTCTTCCTCACATCATCTCCTCCATGTCACTTTCATACGGGACACCAAACTTGTCGTTTCCCCTTGGAATTCCACTTGAGGGCCTGGCACGTGTGCAGAAGAAAAACTTCAGCGTTAAACAGTATGAATCCCAAAGACTTTGGAATTTTTATTTATTTTTCTGCCAAAGTTCTTTAAATTCTACTTGAATCAAGATACCAATTTGTCTTGGCTTGATCATGTATAGCTGACAAATACTTGAATGATATCGGAAAGTCGATCTATAGTATTATTAACCTTTAAACAGATGCAATTAATTATCTAGTTATAAAACATTTTCTGAATCACTAAATATACTACTAACTAGCATGAATAGCTCTACAACATTCACATGGATCATTTTTATATACGGTAAATAAGTGGACTCCACAATACATTCTGAAAGGCTATTTCATCCGTATGCAAGCTAACAATACACTTAGGCTCATGATTTCTTCAAATTATAAACAAAACAAATCTTTTTTTATACGAAAGTTTATACATGACTTTCTTTTTTCTAGAGACTAATTTGAGAAACAGTTCAATGTGTAAACAGCCACCAATGTACTCAACATACTCTGCCCATAAAGAAAATATGCGTCGTATGCAGGAACAAAGAAGAACAGAGGATTGGGTAAGTTCGATGGTTTCATATTTTAAAACTTGCAATATCCTTCATCATAGGTTGGCATAGTCTTGAATGGCTGGTATTTTGTACACATTTTTTGCATACTATTCAACTTTCATACATATACATGGTAAATAAAAGAACTGAGAAGCTTCCGGGTCATTTGGTTGAAGCAAGAACACCTTTGTATTACATAACTGATTTCAGTCTTGCTTAAATAGTACACTCACTTTAAGAACTGATGTAATCTCAATGTGACTTTGGTTACCTTGTACGGAAACAGTTTGTAGTGAGCTTATTGTAACCAGTAATGCTCAAATTTGAACTATGATGATGAAGCCTTCCATTTGACTAAAGTTTGCTATTTACTTGGATGTAACTCTGCAGATTACACCAGTTAATCATTCAACATCAACCTAGAACCTGGCGTTAGTGCATCGCAATCCAAGTTGCTGAAATTTATCGAAAAAGTTTGTATTCTCATAAACAGTTTGGTCTAACAGACAGAGACTTCTTGAATTGGTGCCATGTTTAAGTTTGATCACCTATGACTTTTCTACAACCCAAATCTAACCCACTCAACATTTCGTGTTAGGGTAGATGGTTACTGGGCTTTTGTAACAAATCTCCCAGCCACGTGAGTCAATGGAATTTTATGACTTCATCAGCATAAGACTCCACGTCTAACATCTACATTACTAACATGATGTTTCCATGAGAATCCTAAGCCTTGTCATGCCATCCAGCTTTAACACGCATGTTTCCCGACTATATGTTTCGAAGGAGAGAACTGCTGTGCAGTATACTCAACCTTTATTAGACAACTGGATATCTCGCTGATGTCACAATAAACTCAACGTAGTGAAGGCAATGAAAACCTGTGAAGCGGCGGTGAGATTTCACCGCTCATCAGTCCACCAAGACTGATCCTGTCTCGCAGGCAGACCAGGTTGACAAATTCCTCATCCACTCAAAATGACGAATGAGAGGTAAGGTATACGAAGCGGAAAATTTGCGTTTGCCGAATAAAAAGCTCATTCTAAGTATCCTCCGAGTCCCATATGTTAGACATAACCTATACAGATATTTATTGGAGTCAGTTCAAAGCATGCTGCTGACCAACTATTTTCGTAGATCACACAGGATGAAGTAGGCTGATTAAGATAAGAGTGCGAAAATTAGCAAGGTTTGTGTGAAGTAAGCTGAAAACAGTTTAAAAAAATCAAAAAATACGAAATCCAACATAACCGTTGGATAACAACAAAATGGAATACATTTTTATACTACCTGCCAATAATAAGTAGCGTAAAATTTATAATATAAAAAGAAGTAGGGGAATTGTATCGCAGCACAAGCTGATGCAATACCATTTGTGTCGTTAACTTATAAATATTTAGAATAGAGGGTGCCTTACAATTAACTAAACAATTTTGTAAAATAAGAACCGGGGTAATACAAAGAACAATTGAAGGACTAGAAAATGTAACATTGTTGCATTCAGGTGATTAATTCTTCAGGATGCAATGCATGACTGCTACTGGCTGTACAGTGCTGGGTGCTCACTTCTGTGGTTATGGGTTCGAACCCTGCACCACCTACCGTGTTTTGGTCACTCGTGTCACGAAAAGTGTGCCTCATTGCCTGTCGCATGTAACTGTACATACTGGCTGAATACATATTTCTAGTATTTTTACTCTTAGGCGAAAGGTAAATTCGTTTGAGCGCTTCATACTTGTGACTGGGAGGTGTCTTAAGTGGTAAAATCTCGCAGAAATTTATTTTGTATTATTTTAGTGTTATTATTGAAATAGTTATTCAAATAATTAGTGAATCAAGAATAATATATCCTTCGAAGTGAGTAATACCTAATATATAAAAAGTATTCATTGAAGATGTCACAAACATTTATAGAATATAGGTACCTGATACCTGATGGTTTGAAATCAACTGGCTTTTCTGATCGAAAATTAAAAGCCAAAACACACTCAGCACCCTCGTGTACGTTCATACAGTAGGCTGGGAGGCACACCAGTCGTGTGAGTGCTAATGATACTACCTCGCTGCCCGAACGCTAGTAGGTCGAGTGACATCTAAACCCACGGTCAACTGGCGGACAACTTAAACCGACGAATTACTGAAACACCTCAACAGAAGCCAAGTTAGCTATATCTAACATTTCCCGCCAAATATGATATAATGGCTTTGAGTATAAAGTGTATGTATGTATGGGACGGACTGAAAGAACGATAATTATGGTAGGAAATATTGTCTTAAACGGTTCACATGACTGTCTGTTGACATAAGAAAGAGATATCTAAGAGTGAGAAGTATATCTCTTACTCATCACATAGCCACACACTTGATGTTACAAGTCAAGGATTATGTTTGAAAGTGAAATAATTTTCGTTTTGATACTCGTAATTTCCCGTGCTGTACAAGGCTGAATTGCTCGACCTCTGTTGGCGAACTGGCTTCTGTGCGGACGCCGCGGCACTGTCAGAGATTCTTGATGCTGTTTTTCTGTTGGTGACTGGCAGTGAAGTCTAGGATGCCCTTTCCGTCCCACTTGGGACTCGTCAGCTGGATGCACCCTCACCCCAGTGAGTGAGACACAAACTCTACACCCGTTGCCTTAAACGCCAAGCCTTCATCCACTGGGCCACTGTGACACTATAGCCCTCTCTTGTGCAACGGGCACTAGTTGTTGTTTTGATAACTGTAATTTCACGTTTCAATACACGGTCGAATTGCTCGACCTCTGTTGATGATGATGATGATGATGAATACAGCATAAATATAATGTCAGGAATGTCGGGGAGTATTGAGGCATCCGCATAGTAGCCCATGTGCTAAAAAAGGTTTAGCAACTGGACCCAATATATCAACAGGAAATTACAAGTATCAAAATAACAACTAATACCCGTTGCACGAGAGAGGATCATTGTGTCCCAGTGGGTTAGTGAATAAAGCCTTAGCTTTGGAGGCGATGGGTACTGATCTCGAGGCTCAGTGAGAATAATATCACTCACTGGGGTGAGAGTGCATCCAGCTGACGAGTCCCAAGTGGGACGAAACGCTCGTCCTTAGTTCAACTGCTAGTCACCAAGATGAATATAGCATCGTGAAGTAATTTTGACCATCTCTCACACAGAGATCATACATCTTCAGTTATATGAACAAATCATTTCAGAAGTTCATCATTACTATTATCATTATTATTACTGTTTCTGGATCACAGTAGATAAAATGGACCCATACATTGTTTTTTTAAGTGCAAGCTTGATGAAAAGGCTGTAGTGTATATCCTTCTCCTTAGCTTACCAGTAGAAAGTTTAAAAACTTAGCTTTATTAGGTTGATGTTTCAAAACTCAATAAATTAGATAACACTAAACTATTTCATGTTTTTGATCTAAATTCGTCGAGTTCAAAAAAAACTGTGGAAAGAAACGATTGGTTCGACTGTTCCATGAAAGTAATGAATCTTGCAGTATTATTACATCTGTTGTGAAGCAGAGTAATAGTCATTTCAGGGGGTGAACTACTTTTTATTCATATCCCTGTCACAAAATATTATTTAGGCTCCCAATGAAAGTAGGCTGGCAAGAAGATTGAGTTATTCATCTTTTATCTTTCTGTGACATAAATTATGGCCTAATTTATGTGAATGCGCTATCTCAGGAACACTGTTTCCAAAGTCTGAAATTATTTAAATTCCATTGATAATTGTATTCCGCGGAAGATATTCGGTAAAAATCACACGAAGTGAACCAACTTCATCATCATTAACAGCATAGGACGAGGCATTACTGCGTAACGGTCCAACTTGCCACACCTCATATCACTACATCAAGTAGAAAGGTAGTCAGGTGAAACATCAAGATAAGAAAATTCAGTCAAAAGAAATATAAAGTACTCAAAGAAAGAGAGGAAGGAAGAATGAGAAAATGGTGAGATTTGGTATAGTGTCGTTAAGATGAGGATAATGTGTGTGTGTGTGTACATCTGCGCCACTGACATCGATTCTCAGCCATATCCCCTAGAGTCTCCAACCACAGGTTCCTCTTGTCCTCCGGACCCCAACCACCTAGTCTGCATCGCGCCATATAGCTCAAACCAACAGTCAAACACTTCATACATTGGTGCCATGTTTTAGTCTGGCCACCTCGGGCCTTTCTCCAGCCTTCACCTACTTCGGTCAACATTTTATGATGAGTCAATCGGTGACTAGGCATACGTAGTACGTGTCCCAGCCATCTCAATCAATGAAGGTTCGTAACCTCGTCAACTGATTTACCTCTGCTCTCCCTCTAAAACTCTATACCTGACTTCTGTATTACTCACGTGGTGACACCACGGAATATGGCCTACAAATACGAAGGCAACGGTGGTCAAACACTTGAAGCCTTCTCATGTCTTCCACCTTCAATGGCCATGTTTCACGGTCGTATAATAAAACAGACCGGACTGCTATGGAGTACACGCGACCCTAAGTAGACAAATGGATATCACGGCGGCGCCATAGGTGGCGTAAATTGGCAAAAGCCAACCGAGCCTTCTGTATCCATGCAGAGAAAGTGAACCAACTTAGGCATTATTTATTTCATCTCTTGCTGCATCCTAATATTAGTCAGTTACTGTCAACAGTATGTAATAGTTTCATGGCACTAAGAGACTTCGACTAGTTATTACTTCGTATTCTGCTCAATTTTCATTCAAGGAATGAACGAACATTCGTTAGTTTGTGTTCTTTCTGTTTACCTTTTAACATATTCTAGGCAATAATTTGAATGTAATTTTCAAACTATAGATACCAATAATCTAGTAATGACAGATAGTGGCTAACAGTGGAGTTCAGAATGCGCGTTTCATCCTATTTGGAACTTGTCAACTGGATGTATCAGCCTCCCAGTGAGTGAGGTTGTTTCCAATAAAACGAAAAGCTATAAACGCAAGACGACTATACAGTAGGCGTCCTGGATTTCACTGTTAGCTATCATCCTTCATTACTATGAAATTGAAACTACAGACAACACCAAGATAACCACGTGGGAGCCCACGTACCAATTGAGACGGATCATTTCACTCCAATCAATGATGGGATGATACAACATATAGATAGCAATAATTCTAGTTTACCAGATAATTAATTGATTATCGAATCAGTATATGGATTAGGCTGCCTTCAAATTCGATTGTTGTTTCTCTGGTATGAATCATTTTAAAGTAGTTTGAAGTTCAACTAATAAATGCAGCATAAGGCGGTAAATAGGTTACCTAGACATTTAGACATGATTTTAGTACAGCATCAATTGGGATGACAAATAAGTTGGCTAACATAGTTGTTGATTTTCCAACTCATGTCTTTAGTAAGCTTGATATTTTGCGGAAGACTAAAGTATACGACTGCTTGATATGTTGTTAAAACTGCTATGAACTTACTACTAAATCCAACCGAATAAAATGGAACACTGCACTCATTGCATATAAGTTTAGTGAACCCAAGAATCAAATCAGAATCGAAATAAACAAGCTTAGTAGATAGTTGTCCATTTACTACATAGAAAGGTTAATCCTCTGTTGGATAAATAACTGTCTGGAACATATGAGTAACTGGAAGTCATAAAGGGTAGATATGAAAAGTTGTTTTATCAAACCTTTCTGTTTCCTAATAACTCAACTGAATAAATTATATATTATTAATAGACACAGGCTAGCAGTGGAATCCAGGACGCGCGTTTCATTCCGTTTAGGACTTGTCAGCTGGATGTGCCTGCCCCTAATGAGTGAAGTTGTTTCCACTATGACTCAAACTAGGGACCTATCACTTCAAACGCTAGAGCGTTACCCACCAGATCACCGAGTAAAGATAGCCACTTCTAGTGCGACCAGTATACTTTTAATGTCGTTGCTTGCAAGAAGTGGCTACCTTGACTGTATGGTCTAGTGGATAACTCTCTGGTGTTTGAAGTGGTCGGTCCTGAGTATGAGTCTTAGTGGGAACAACATCATTCACTGGGAGGCAGGTACATCCAGCCGACAAGTCCTAAATAGGAGGAAACGCACACTCAATGTTCCACTGTTAGCCACTACGCATCACTGACGTATAATTCAATCACAGGCAGTAACGAGGCACTCATGCAAGAACCTATATTCCAATAGAGACCGATCAACTCGGTCCACTCAATGACGGGATAATGCAAGGAACAGTATGAGTATATCATAGTTAAAACGAAGACTGTAGATAAAGTCAAGATTACCTTTCCTCATCTCCTACCGAAACAACTAAAGAACAAATGGTTACCTATACCGATTCTTTGCCTTCTAATTAGTAGGCATGAATTGTTTATTGTGCATAACCGTCGCATTTCTATTATGTATACTGTTTTCTATCATCAAGCCAATCATAAAATTCGATCATATAATTCCTGCTTTCTTTGTAATGTGGTCAATACTTCACAAACAAGTTCCTCTGGGTGTTGATATATTGTATACAGACGTGTAAATTGGCATGTATACGTAGAAATCGTATTTGACAGGGATGCATGTCATTGATTGCATAGTAAAACTACCATACATCCGTTGGTCGCAGGAAAGCAACCAATTTCATCTTGTCTAAGTCTTTGGTACTCATATAATGCTATCGATCCCTCTAGCTATGCGGCCACCAAGCTAGTAGATCCAGCATCATGGTGAACATTAATAGATGTTAGTTGGTTGGAGGCAGTCGGCAGGAAATCCTGTTTAACCTAGGTTTCGTGCTTTGTAGCACTCGTCAGCAGTTTATTTGCGATCTCGGAGAAAATGATTTCCCCTGAGATCTCAACCCCCCTCGACCAGAGTTGTGGTTAGCGTTGTTAACACTAAGCCACTAACCTAATTAGGACTGGATTGGTTGTTCTCCAGGTATTAATCAGCGTATGTGATCAAATCTTACAAGAGGTCAGTCACGGCCCGAATAGCTCAATGGTACCGCAGCTGACTTCAACACTGAGTGACGCTGTTTCTGATCTCAGGATAGATATCAGTTCCTTCTAAGTAGCAAACACACCTTGCTGACGAGTGCCAACAGGAACGAAACTTAGGTCAAGCAAGGCTTTTTCCCAGCTGGCTCCAATCAACTAACACCACTATACTATTTATCGCATTTATTAACATAGTTCTTGGGTCATAATGACTAGTTTTAAAAGTGATATCAAGTCTTGAAAGAATATCATAGGCTTGTTTATATAAATTGTAGCTAATAAAGTGTTTCAACAGACTAGATGTGCAGTAGCTTTTAAAATCCTCTCGATGTTACCTGTATATTTTGCAATGTCTATAAGCTACATATATATTCCCATCATGTCAAACATTACAATGTTAATCTGTGAAATTTCAATTACTGCAGAGATTGAAACACCGACAGATAGATAGTTTACTTCAACGTGATTGTGAAGTTACTGCGTCACCTTAGAATCATTCGAAAGTGTGCAAAACATACAATTTGTAAACACTTTACAATACTTTCAAAGAAATCATATTTTTCCATTATTCATTTAACTGATTAATCTGCGAGGAATAAGTTTTTTTCACTAATTGTTGTCAACATTCATCAAAACCAGCTGTATAATGACTGAAGAAAGGGAATCAGATGATACCTGTAGCGTTTTCATTTAAAACTTTTCGTCAGTTTACCAACTGAAACTCATCCAGAATGAACTTAGGACAATCATATCATACAATGACCACCCTACTATTCAAAGAGTGTGTTACTAATCTATTAGTTTAGACTTTGTTAAATTTTGTTGATTCACAATATACTACAGACATAATCTAATGGTATTAAGCATTGTCATTTCTCACTTATAATGTGGCTAACTTCATGGCTTATGACTTTTCATTGAAAGTCTGATAATATTTCACTTAAAGCTTGATGCTAATGAATGGTTTACAGTTTTATGTAATTTGAGTATTTATACTGGGTGGTGTTTGGAAGTGGAATGAAAATTTGGATCGAGGCCGGATTCGAACCAGCAACTATCAGGTTTTCGGACGAATGTTTTACCAGCTAAGGTATGAGGTCCGACAGTTGACCAGATTTTTATTTCGCCTCAGTCACCAAGGATTTTGCCTGACTACTATATGAATTCGTGACGCGTTGCTTTCGCTCGATCATACTCACATTGGCTATCTAGTCAGAACTTTTCATTCAAATGTAAATCTAACTAAATTAGAGAGGGGAAGCATCATATTGATTGTCATTGGACTATTTGAGATGATTGTAGTTTGGTAGACTAGTATTTATTTCGTCTTCAATCATTACCCACCATAAATACTCATCCGCCAAACTACGGTTATCTCAGATAGTCAAATGATAATTTCAGTATGTTCCATAATTTTAGTGACTTCGTTTTCAGTTCGTAAAACATCTCTTAGTATACACTATACCATGTAATATAACCATTAACCTTTCAAATGAATCATATTCCAAAACAGTATGTAAGTGGAACTGTCACCAACGTTGTTGGACGTGTAAAACTACTTTATATCTTTGTTTGGTATCAAAGTGTATGATAAAGTTGTATTGCATATCTATAGTACAAATATCTGAGCAAAGCTATTTCAACATAGGAAAAAAAGATGATTACAGCAAAGAAAAACTTTCTTTTTTGTCTTAGCTGTACATTCATGAATATATAGTAGACACGATAGAACATTCCACAATAATTTATGGTCAAAAATCCAAATATATTGCATGACAAAGAAAAGTTATGTAATGTCACTTAAAGTTTGAAATGGGAAGGTAAATAAGCAATTACAAAATGAGATATAGTTACATCATAAGGAACTATCAAAAGCTATGGATTGTATGCGATGTCCATGGCAAAGAATGCCGTTACATATACTACTTTTGGTGGCATAGTGATGGTTTAGACATCTGAAATGCTGATACTTCAACTATCCCTAGATGTTTTATGCATATACCTTTCGAGTTACTTGATCATACTCTGGATAAAACTTTGAAGGACTTAATGAATGGAGTGAAGTGTCCTGAGTTTAGAAGACGTTCTTTTCCAGAGCTGAGAATGAACTTCCTCTTTCCCCTTGTGAACCAGCTTGAGTTATGTTCATGCGAATGATTTCGTCAAAAAGAAACTTTTTTCTTCGTAATAATCACCTCTTTCTTCCTTTTTTTCTATTATCATGAAAGATTTATTAGGTTACCGTTACCAAACGTCTATATATCCACCAATATGTAGACATCAATCATCGAACATCACTGTAAATTGTCTTATTTGCTTTTTTGTTCTTCTGTCACATGAAGATAGATATTTTACTGGAAGCGAATAGCTTGACAACATTTCATTTCAGTTCATCAAAATAAAAATACTTACTGAATGGTAAAGCAACATATTCAAACTAGAAAGAGAGAATATGTAGTTACCTGTATTATACCCACAGCAGAAGAAGTGGATATCATGACTCGGTAGCCTAATGGATAAATGTCTGGCGTTTGAAGCGATCGGTCCCACGTTCCAGTCCTAGTGTGAACAACATCGCTCATCGGGGGACAGGTACACATAGTTAATGAATCCCGACTAGGATGAAACTCCCCAGTCAATAGTGATCATTAATCGAACCAGAGAACTTCTGAACATTTCTACGTAAACTTATACATATGAGGTGAATTTTGTCTATAATAAACAATAAGTCACAATTTTTTTCTTCCTTTATTATAGCAAGCTTCTAACAGACAGCTGCATGATTCAAGGTCAGTCGGTAGTCGTGCCGTCCTTGAAGAAATGGAAACTATAACACTACAACCAATTGGTCGGGGAGTACATGATCTTGAACCACCCACTGGTTCAATAGCTCGTTCGGTTAGAGCTAACACACCAACTGGTTAGTTTTCTTAATTATCAGTTTATTTTTGTATATTTTCAGTCATAGACATTGAACAACGTTTTACTGTTATAGGTTGTGAACCTTCATCGTTGATTGGATTGACATATGAGCTCCTGTTCGGATGTGCCTCGACACTTCCGGTATTTTCAATTTTGATGACAATGATGGATAGTCCCTTAAAGTGGAATCCAGGTTACTTGTTTCGTCCAAGTTAAGAATATTATAACTCAATGGCCTTGTAGGTAACGTTTGGTCATGGGTTTAAGTCTCAATGAGAACACAATTACTCACTAGGGTCCAGCTAAATGCATCTAATGAATCCCAAATAGGAGGAAACGCGTGTCTTGGATTCCTCTGATAGCCACCAGGTCAAATATAAGTTATAAACTGACCGGTAACTGGGTTTGAATCCCTTGGAAAACATCAGTATCCTTGAGGTTGAAGATAAGCCTGGTTGATAGCCGTCAACAATAACAAAATCTAGGTCAATCAGGGTTTCTTTCCGATTGCCTCCAAACACCTTGCACAATCATATAATAAGTGGTCTGGTTTCAGAATTTAAACAAACAACCACAAATATTATTTTAGGGATAAGGGAAATGATAACATGACTAGGATGTCTTAAACCTCGTGATGACGGAAATCACTTGCTAGCTGCTTTGTATTTTAGTACTATGGCAACAATCTTCAACCGTAGGCAACTTCTCTAACCCCACATCACTTTATAATGATTGCGGGCGTAATGGCATTGCGAAAACCATAAAAAGAGTTATCAACAAAAATGTAATGAGAAAACTGTACCTTGTACGGAGTATATTAGGAAATGGTATTCATAATGAATGACTGTAAATGTCCATCCAGCAGCTGAAAAGATTACATTCTTGTAAAAGTCTCGTGAGTCAAATAAAAATATATACACCTTTAAAACAGCTGCGTTCACTAGGATGACTTTTAAAGTCATGTATTTACAACTGGAACTAAATGAAAAGTGAAAGACTCAAATTGTATTCAGGAGGAACAAAAAAATGTGTGATTATTCAAGTGTATACATTGACTGTAAATGTCACCCTAAGTAATTAATGTAAAAACTCAGTTAAGTTGCTTTGCTTTATGCAAAAACTAACCAAATTGCTAAGGTGACCTTTAGAGTTGATTCACTCCAAAGGACACTCTGACAACTACCGAAATAACCAATTTTATTTCTTTATTGTATTTAGAAAGATCGTTTTCTTCACAAAACAAAGTAATCTAATTAGCTAATCAATAGTTGCTTGATATGATATTTGGAATCACTCTTAAATTCATTCCTTTTTATGAAGATTATTTAGACGATGGGGTGTTATTAAATACACCAACAGTGTTACTGATCATGATATACGAAATGATAATCATTTGGATTAAAACGATCCGTCTATTCATTTAAATATCTGTTATAATTAAGGGTAGGAAGTTTGTTAACCTCATAGGCTAGGTCACAAGCTTTTCGCAAAAGCCCTATAGCCGACATGAGTTAATTGAGTCAAGTAGTCAAAAACAAACACTTCGAGTAAAAGTGTAGCCTAAGCTGAAACGATTCATTACTTGACTCGCCGTTACAGTAAGAACAATGTAACTAATCACACTCAGTGTTATTGCTTGTATTACATCGTCGTTGATTGGACCGAAATGATCAGTGTCTATTGGCATATGGGTTCCTGTGCGATAACACTAAAACTACAGCCGTCGCGCAAGAAGTGACTATCGCGGCTCGGTGGTGTAGTGGATAACGCTCTCAATTTTGAAGCGACCGCTGTGGAGTCCGAATCCCGGTGGGAAAACATCACTCACTTAGGAGCAGACCTATCCAGCTGACGAGTCCCAAACAGGACGAAATGTGCGTCCTGGATTCCACTGCTATCCACTACCTATCATTACTATACATAATCAGATTTTTGAGGATTAATATTTTCATTTGCTTGTTAATAATACTTCACTTTCTCCTTTTGAAGAATGAATGTTCTGATAAAGTGGTTTTGAACAGTAATCAAACTGTTGATTATCGACATAACTATCTGAGATATCTACGGTTTTGAAGACTCGTATTATTAACAGTAGGTAATGGTTGAAGGGGAAGTGAAAAACCATGTGGTACCAGTCTACCGAACCACAGTTATCTCAGAAAGTCACACTGATAATCAGTACCAAGCTCCCCCTCTCTAAATCAGGGAGATTTGGGATTGGAATGAGAAGATCTGACTAGCCAGCCAATGTGAATACGATGAACTGACATATAAGTATCACGAATTCACATACCTATCGAGTAAAACTCTTGAAGTGAAACTGATATTTCATCAACGCCTGGAACTTGTAGCTTAGTTAATGGATCACTGGGAGCTGAAAACCTGAAGACTAATGGGCCCAATCACAACACAACCTAGATTTTCATTTCACCTTCAATCATTTTATTATTATTTATTATTTGTCCCATGGGTTCCTTATGGAACACAGGGATTCAGTAGCACGTCTCCATTCTACTCTGTTCTCTGAAATCTTTCGAACATGGCTCCACGACAGCCCACAACCTCTCATTTCCTCCTCGCACGATCTCCTTCATGTCACTCTCGGACGCCCAACCCGTCGCATCCCATCTGGGTTCCACTCGAGTGCCTGGCCTGAAGCGTGATGTCTCCAGTCGGCCTTCTCAGTTTATGCCCAATCCATCTCCCCTTCCTTCTAGTGCATATTCGTTGAGCGATAGGTTGTTGGTTGGTTCGTTGTCAGGCCAGAGTTCCTTGTTACTTATTCTTTCTGGCCATCTCATCTGGTCTTCAGTAAGGAGCCAGTGTAGGCAGTTGTTGATGAATGTCTGTAGTTTGTTGGAAATTCCTTTCGTAACGCGGCAAGTCTCTAAACCACCACATAGAAGCACTGACTTGACTGATGTTGGTGTTGAAAGTCCGGATCTTGTTCACGCTTTATGCTGAGTGCAGAAGATCTCCACACTGGTCTCAGGTTAATCAACGCCTGTCTTGCTGCCTTTCCGATCCTGGCTGGCTTTGACGTCCTCGTCTGTGCCACCACCTGTAGTTGAAACAGTGCTGCCTAGATAGGTGAAAGAGGCTACTTCCTTTAAGTTTCTCCCGTTGATGGTGATTGGAGCCTGTTGTTGTTGGTTGGGTATCTTCATGACCTCTATCTTCTCTATGTTCACTTGAAAGAAGTTCGATCTTCCCTGCTTTACCTCTTCTGCCAACTTGTTAGTTTTCGCCTGTTGATCTTCAAGTTTGTGCGACACTAGACACAAGTCATCACTGGTGAAATCCAGATCTTTTAGGTTTTTTTCCGCGGTTCAGCGTATGCCCCTCTTCTCGCTCCTACCTTCAATCATTACCGAGTATTAAATTATTCACTGATTCAATATTAATGAATAAAAGCATTCTTCATAAGGGTATACAGGACGATTTGTTGAAGGATAACTAATTAAGAAGTCAAGATATTACTTCGAGTTCAAAAACTATAAAAACTCTGTAACTACTCCAATGATGACAAAAATTTTGCATTTCACTTACCTCACTTGAATATGTGCTGTTGTTTCATACTTTATCTACAGTTATCATTTTGTACAAATAAACAGTTTTCCATTTCAGCACAAGATATTTCTTCATAAAAAAAGTTAGGTGAATTTCAAGATCTAATATGTAACCGTTATCTGTTTCTATACACGACGTTGGCGAAAGCAGGTATCGAAAGAACAGAGGTTACAGGTGGCAAAAAAATGTTCTTTAAGAATTTGTTAATTGACCTGAGCCAGGATATCGTGTAAACCTCTAGTCTCTTTCTGACCGAAATCGATGGTTTTTGACACAAGATGGTATAGCCTAGAATCTCTTTCTTAAGTGGTTGTCTGCTGCTTCTGATCCTATTATTTTACAATTCTGAGTCCTGATATGATATTACCAGTGACAAAGGTCAAACAACATTCGTAAATTGCTGTTAACTAAGTTGCTCTTATACAATACTCTGTATAACTTTGAACACTGTGCTTTCTTCATAGCCAGTCAGATGGTTAGTTCCAACATCGTACTGAGCTGCATTGCATATACCTTCAGGTTGCCATCCTTAAAATAAGAACATAAACTCAATCTCTTTTAAATATGATTTATATTTCTGTTTTCTATTAAGAAAATCCTATGAAACACTGAAATAAGATCTTTATACAAAGGCTTTTGCAAAGCCTGATATATACAGTTTTGTTATGAGGTAATTGTTTCATAGAAAAATGTATATAATATACAATCCTTATTTCAGGTTTACCTGCATTCATAGCACCTAATAGCAGACCTCATTCATCAGCTGCCAGAATATACCCAGTAACCACAGGAACGAAACGATATAACAGTAAAGAATATTATAGTCCTGTTCGAATGAAACGCAGTACTATCGACTTACCCTACAGTTCTACCACCCAAGCACTGATAAGCCCACCTATCAATAGAAGATATGTCGGTTTCACTAATAATAATCCGTCACTTGGAGTATCAGGCAACAATAGAAATATTTTGCCTCCAATAAATCATAACAGTTATACATATGCTACACATACGAACAAGTTTGATTCAAGTTATAACAGATCAACAGGAATCCTAAACACACCGCGTATAAACACAAATTCATATGCCAGACAAACGCTTACACATAATATTCGAGAGGTTGCACAAAAACACAGAGTACAATCTCCAGATCAAAACTTTTATGCATCACCGAATCATGAGTTAGGTAAATTACAAAATCCAAGTGGATTCATCTATACCTCATACCTTTGTTTAACACGCATAAAAAGGCATTTGATTTTATGTTGTATAAAAGCTAACATATGTCTATGACATAAATAATTTCACAAGCCAATGCTAATATTGCTTGCGGGCGTCTATTTTGATTTCGACTGCTTGCACATAAGTAATCTCTTCTGCTGGCATTTACCCTTAAAATTATCACTTATTTTCTCAACCATCTTCATA